TTTCCAAATTTGTAGGTTGCCTTTTCACTTTATTGGTAATTTCTTTTGACGTGAAAAAACTTCTCAAGGACTGTATCCTTAATTGCTTAGTAAACTATGGTAAAGACTTTGGATTTTATTCTAAAAAATCAATACATTGTCATCAAGATTTTGGGCAAAGAAATGATGCAATTAGTTTTCTTTTTAGAAAGATCAGTATATATTACAGAGGAAATAAGGAATTGAGGCTAAAGGCCATACAGATGGTAATAAGAAGGTACTAGGTACTTAGAGTTTGTTGTGTTATAAACAATTGAGAAGATGGATTTGGAAATGATTTGAATGAAAGAATCCCCTAGACTTCAACTGCTGGGAGGAGCACACAGTGATGCAGGGGATATACAGGGAGCTTAGTTGGCTCCCAGCTTCATGTCATGTGGCTGATGGAAAGTGGAGGAGAATATATGACTCAAATTTTGAAGAGCTAGTAAGAAGTGGAGATCTATACTTGTAAGTCATAAACACCAACATAGTTAAATTCTTAAAACTAAGTCAACTTTATGAGGAAGTGCAAGGAAAGCGGAGTGCCAAAGACAGGGTTGTAGGAAATACTTAGGTCAGATCTATTTACCTGTTTTTCTTCCTGTTAGAATATACAGCCCTTGAGTGATAAGGCAGCCCTTTGCTTCATGCTGCTTTATCACATCACCTAGCTCAGAGGCACTGCGCATGTAAGTCCTCAGTAAATCTTTCTAGAATGAAGAAAAACCGAGAATGGAATAATTCCCATTCTAGCCAAGATAAAAGAGGCTGAATGTACCCTCTAGCTTGAGACAGCACAAAAGTAAATTAAATATTTGAAATAGTGATTTTCAAAAGTAAAAGTAGTGGCTGACATACAATAAAGCTCAGTGATTCCTAAGAAGCAAGAGGAAAAGTATGCCCTACTAGTAATCAATGTGGCCATTTTTAAAAAGTTAAAGAGGCAGGCGTGATCGTGCATGCCTGTAATCCCAGCACTCAGGAGCCAGAGGCAGGAGGATTGCTGTGAATTCACATTCATCCTGGACTACGTAGCAAGACCATGTCTCAGAAAAAAAAAAAAAAAATGTACCATGTGATCCAGCCATTGAACTCCTAAATATTCATTCAAGGCAGATAAAAGGTTATATACAAAGTCCTTTACACAGATATTCATAATATATTCACATGTAATAGCCGACATCCAGGAACAACTGAAATTTCCCTTACTAGGTAAAAAGATAGAAACTTCTTTTATGCCCCTGTTGTAATACTGCTGAAACATAAAAAGAAATGAACTATTGACACACATTGTCTTAGTTTGCACTGCTGAAATAGAATACTGTGTTCTATATCACTTACACAGCTGACACTTATTTCTCATGGTTCTGAAGGCTGATAGTCTTAGATCACCATGCCAAGACAGCCAAGTTTTGGTGAAGGCTGTCGTCTTGTTCAGGAATCTCGAGGGAGGAGAGAGAGAGAATCAAAGAAGCAGGCTCGCTCCTGTTTCTCTTATATGATCACTTATGCCACCCTCCTGAACTAATTAACTCCTAAAAGCCCATCTCCCTGTGCCATCATATAGGGATTAAGGCTGTAGCAGATGATTTTGGGCAAGGCAGGAAGTGAGGGGCAGAACATGTGAACATTCAGTTTATACCACACTACAGTGTCAGTGATCCCAAAGTTCTAAGCTGAGTGAAAGAAGCCGAAGAGAGAATAAATACTCTTTGGTTTGGTCTATATAAAATTATAGAAAATGAAAAGGTAATCTACAGATGATTGAAGCTGAATGGGGATTGTCTTGGGGAAGGATGCCGGTTCAAAGTGGGAGTGAACAGGGATTACTCTAGGAGTTGACATTTTGGAAGTTATAGATACATTCATTATCTTGATAATGGTACTAGTTTCATGAATATGCATATGTGTCACACTTACAAATGTGTCAGACCTTTTAAAACCTGTTCGGTTTTAAAAATCAAGAATGGAAAGGGCCAGCCAAATAGCTCAGTCGAATTAAAGCTCCTGCAAGCAGGCACAGGGGCTGGGGGTTCGATCCTTGGGCCTGCTGCCCTGGGCCTGCCCCCTGGGGTGTACTGAGACAGCAATTGAGACCAGCATGATGACACACGCCTGTAATCCTGGTTCTTGGGAGGCTGTAAACAGGCAGATCACTACAAGTCTGATCTAGTAGTGAGATCCTGAATACTCTGTAGACCCTTCCCTAAAATAAAAAAAGTAAAAAAATCAAGGATGGAGTTATAGTTAAACATATACCTTTCTAAGCACTCCTCCATTAGAAAGATAACACAGATGTTAATGATGTATACGTAGAAAGTTTTAAAGGTTTTTTGAAAGAAGCAGGAAGCTAAAGTGTGTTTTTTGTTATGCTAATGGGAAGCTACCTGATTTTTCTCTCATCCCAGCTCAGGAGAACTGAGAAAAAGCTCTCCCAAATTATTACCCTAGCTCTACATGTAACTATTAGTCTGTTAACAAAAGGAATATGGTGGTTTTAGATTTCAGGAATACCTTGTTCAATAGAGGAAGGTAGTAAAGTATAGGGCAAAAAATGACTTGGAAAATCTGTTAATAAGATTCCAGTGTTCCTCTTCTCTTTACTATAGCTGTCACACACTCCTCTCCCCAGAGTCCTGAGGAGGAGAGG